TCTTTATATGGGAATCCCTGTCAAACTGCATATTGCATACAAACAAACAAACAAAACCGGTTGTTAAAAATCAAATGACAAACTTTTCTTTTGACACTCGTTCGCACACGCACACGCACACGCACACACACACTCACAATTTTCCTTAATTTGTAAAAGGTTTTTTCAAAAAAAAAAAAAAAATCAAATTTGAATTCATATAAACTAATAAATAAATTTTATCATAATCATCATCTTAAAACTTAAATTTTTTTTATTTTACTATTAATCATTATTATTATTATTTGTTAAAAAAGTTAATTTAAAAAGTGTTAAAAGAATTCAATTAAAAATAAATAAATAAATTTAAAAATTTGAATATGATTAAAATTACCTATTATCCATAAGGTAAGTAATAAAATTTTTAATGGGGGCGAATATCTTGTTTGTTATTTGATTCATTACCGCGATTTTGTATAATTTTACCTTGACATCTCTTTAGGTTAACAATATGGCGCGTAAAAAAAAAAAAAAATACAAAAAAAATTTGTTATAATAACGAGTACTTCATACAGTTACGTATCCCCCCCCCAAAAAATAATAATTATATGAGTATAATACAACCATAAAATGACATTTAAATTTCTTTTTTTTAATGATGATAATGATGATAATAACGACAACAAAATAAATTTTAATAAAATGATGAATATAATTCAGGTTTTCCTTTTTTTTTTTTTTTTTTTTTTTGCAAAAAATAATCTATCAACACTTTTGATCACTCAATACCTACTAGTTTTTTTTTTTTTTGACCCTTTTTATATAAAAAATGAGAGAAAAAAAAAGAGTGAGAGAAAGAGAGAGAGAAAGAGAAAGAAAGTGAAACCTGTTTAAAAAAACTAATCAAGTTTTATATTATTTTTATTGGATTTATTAAATGTTATTAATATTATTATTATTATTTTAATTTTTTTTAATGGGTGAAAATTACCCATTACTCCAAAGATAATTATTGTAAATAATAATAATAATAATAATAATAATAATAAT